CCTCTTCAACCTCTTTCAGTGTTATCCTCTTCATCCTCTTCCAATGTCATCCTTTTCATAATCTTTCAGTGTCATCCTCTTCATCCTCTTTCAGTGTCATCCTCTTCATCCTCTTCCAATGTCATCCTCTTCATCCTCTTTCAGTGTTATCCTCTTCATCCTCTTCCAATGTCATCCTTTTCATCCTCTTTCAGTGTCATCCTCTTCATCCTCTTTCAGTGTCATCCTCTTCATCCTCTTTCAGTGTTATCCTCTTCATCCTCTTCCACTGTCATCCTCTTCATCCTCTTCCAGTGTCATCCTCTTCATCCTCTTCCAATGTCATCCTCTTCCCATCCTTTTCCAGTGTTATCCTCTTCCCATCCTCTTCATCCTCTTCCAGTGTCATCCTCTTCCCATCCTTTTCCAGTGTTATCCTCTTCCCATCCTCTTCATCCTCTTTCCATCCTCTTCATCCTCTTCCAGTGTCGTCCTCTTCCCATCCTTTTCCAGTGTCATCCTCTTCCCATCCTCTTCATCCTCTTCCCATCCTCTTCCCATCCTTTTCCAGTGTTATCCTCTTCCCATCCTCTTCATCCTCTTCCAGTGTCATTCTCTTCATCCTCTTCCAGTGTCATCCTCTTAATCCTCTTCCAGTGTCATCCTCTTCCCATCCTTTTCCAGTGTTATCCTCTTCCCATCCTCTTCATCCTCTTCCAGTGTTATCCTTTTCATCCTCTTTCAGTGTCATCCTCTTTCAGTGTCATCCTCTTCCCATCCTTTTCCAGTGTTATCCTCTTCCCATCCTCTTCATCCTCTTCCCACCCTCTTCATCCTCTTCCAGTGTCATCCTCTTCCCATCCTTTTCCAGTGTTATCCTCTTCCCATCCTCTTTATCCTCTTCCAGTGTCATTCTCTTCCCATCCTTTTCCAGTGTTATCCTCTTCCCGTCCTCTTCATCCTCTTCCAGTGTCATCCTCTTAATCCTCTTCCAGTGTTATCCTCTTTCAGTGTCATCCTCTTCCCATCCTTTTCCAGTGTTATCCTCTTCCCATCCTCTTTATCCTCTTCCAGTGTCATCCTCTTCCCATCCTTTTCCAGTGTTATCCTCTTCCCATCCTCTTCATCCTCTTCCAGTGTTATCCTCTTCATCCTCTTTCAGTGTCATCCTCTTTCAGTGTCATCCTCTTCCCATCCTTTTCCAGTGTTATCCTCTTCCCATCCTCTTCCCATCCTCTTCATCCTCTACCAGTGTCATCCTCTTCCCATCCTTTTCCAGTGTTATCCTCTTCCCATCCTCTTTATCCTCTTCCAGTGTCATCCTCTTCCCATCCTTTTCCAGTGTTATCCTCTTCCCATCCTCTTCATCCTCTTCCATTGTCATCCTCTTCATCCTCTTCCAGTGTCATCCTCTTCATCCTCTTCCAGTGTCATCCTCTTCCCATCCTTTTCCAGTGTTATCCTCTTTCCATCTTCTTCATCCTTTTCCAGTGTCATTCTCTTCATCCTCTTCCATTGTCATCCTCTTCCCATCCTTTCCAGTGTTATCCTCTTCCCATCCTCTTCATCCTCTTCCAGTGATATCCTCTTCAACCTCTTTCAGTGTCATCCTCTTTCAGTGTCATCCTCTTCCCATCCTTTTCCAGTGTTATCCTCTTCCCATCCTCTTCATCCTCTTCCAGTGTCATCCTCTTCCCATCCTTTTCCAGTGTTATCCTCTTCCCATCCTCTTCCCATCCTTTTCCAGTGTTATCCTCTTCCCATCCTCTTCATCCTCTTCCAGTGTCATTCTCTTCATCCTCTTCCAGTGTCATCCTCTTAATCCTCTTCCAGTGTCATCCTCTTCCCATCCTTTTCCAGTGTTATCCTCTTCCCATCCTCTTCATCCTCTTTCAGTGTCATCCTCTTTCAGTGTCATCCTCTTCCCATCCTTTTACAGTGTTATCCTCTTCCCATCCTCTTCATCCTCTTCCAGTGTCATCCTCTTCCCATCCTTTTCCAGTGTTATCCTCTTCCCATCTTCTTTATCCTCTTCCAGTGTCATTCTCTTCCCATCCTTTTCCAGTGTTATCCTCTTCCCATCCTCTTCCAGTGTCATCCTCTTAATCCTCTTCCAGTGTCATCCTCTTCCCATCCTTTTCCAGTGTTATCCTCTTCCCGTCCTCTTCATCCTCTTCCAGTGTTATCCTCTTCATCCTCTTTCAGTGTCATCCTCTTTCAGTGTCATCCTCTTCTCATCCTTTTCCAGTGTTATCCCCTCCCCATCCTCTTCATCCTCTTCCCATCCTCTTCATCCTCTTCCAGTGTCATCCTCTTCCCATCCTTTTCCAGTGTTATCCTCTTCCCATCCTCTTTATCCTCTTCCAGTGTCATCTTCTTCCCATTCTTTTCCAGTGTTATCCTCTTCCCATCCTCTTTATCCTCTTCCAGTGTCATTCTCTTCCCATCCTTTTCCAGTGTTATCCTCTTCCCATCCTCTTCATCCTCTTCCAGTGTCATCCTCTTAATCCTCTTCCAGTGTCATCCTCTTCCCATCCTTTTCCAGTGTTATCCTCTTCCCATCCTCTTCATCCTCTTCCAGTGTTATCCTCTTCATCCTCTTTCAGTGTCATCCTCTTTCAGTGTCATCCTCTTTCAGTGTCATCCTCTTCCCATCCTTTTCCAGTGTTATCCTCTTCCCATCCTCTTCATCCTCTTCCCATCCTCTTCATCCTCTTCCAGTGTCATCCTCTTCCCATCCTTTTCCAGTGTTATCCTCTTCCCATCCTCTTTATCCTCTTCCAGTGTCATCCTCTTCATCCTCTTTCAGTGTCATCCTCTTCCCATCCTTTTCCAGTGTTATCCTCTTCCCATCCTCTTCATCCTCTTCCCATCCTCTTCATCCTCTTCCAGTGTCATCCTCTTCCCATCCTTTTCCAGTGTTATCCTCTTCCCATCTTCTTCATCCTCTTCCATTGTCATCCTCTTCATCCTCTTCCAGTGTCATCCTCTTCATCCTCTTCCAGTGTCATCCTCTTTCCATCCTTTTCCAGTGTTATCCTCTTCCCATCTTCTTCATCCTCTTCCAGTGTCATTCTCTTCATCCTCTTCCAGTGTCATCCTCTTCACATCCTTTCCAGTGTTATCCTCTTCCCATCCTCTTCATCCTCTTCCAGTGTCATCCTCTTCCCATCCTCTTCATCCTCTTCCAGTGTCATCCTCTTCCCATCCTTTTCCAGTGTTATCCTCTTCCCATCCTCTTCATCCTCTTCCAGTGTCATTCTCTTCCCATCCTTTTCCAAGGTTATCCTCTTCCCATCCTCTTCATCCTCTTCCAGTGTCATCCTCTTCATCCTCTTCCAGTGTCATCCTCTTCCCATCTTCTTCATCCTCTTCCAGTGCCATCCTCTTCCCATCCTCTTCATCCTCTTCCAGTGTCATCCTCTTCCCATCCTCTTCATCCTCTTCCAGTGTCATCCTCTTCCCATCCTCTTCATCTTCTTCCAGTGTCATCCTCTTCCCATCCTCTTCATCCTCTTCCAGTGTCATCCTCTTCATCCTCTTCCAGTGTCATCCTCTTCTCATCCTTTTCCAGTGTTATCCTCTTCCCATCCTCTTCATCCTCTTCCAGTGTCATCCTCTTCATCCTCTTCCAGTGTCATCCTCTTCATCCTCTTCCAGTGTCATCCTCTTCCCATCCTTTCCAGTGTCATCCTCTTCCCATCCTCTTCATCCTCTTCCAGTGTCATCCTCTTCCCATCCTTTTCCAGTGTTATCCTCTTCCCATCCTCTTCATCCTCATCCATTGTCATCCTCTTCATCCTCTTCCAGTGTCATCCTCTTTATCCTCTTTCAGTGTCATCCTCTTCCCATCCTTTCCATTGTTATCCTCTTCCCATCCTCTTCATCCTCTTCCAGTGTCATCCTCTTCATCCTCTACCAGTGTCATCCTCTTCCTCCTCTTCCAGTGTCATCCTCTTCATCCTCTACCAGTGTCATCCTCTTCCAGTGTTATCCTCTTTATCCTCTTCCAGTGTCATCCTCTTCATCCTCTTCCAGTGTCATCCTCTTCCCCCTCTTCCAGTGTCATCCTCTTCCAGTGTTATCCTCTTCATCCTCTTCCAGTGTTGTCCTCTTCATCCTCTTCCAGTGTTGTCCTCTTCATCCTCTTCCAGTGTCATCCTCTTCATCCTCTTCCAGTGTTGTCCTCTTCATCCTCTTCCAGTGTTGTCCTCTTCATCCTCTTCCAGTGTCATCCTCTTCATCCTCTTCCAGTGTTGTCCTCTTCATCCTCTTCCAGTGTTGTCCTCTTCATCCTCTTTCAGTGTTATCCTCTTCCCATCCTTTTCCAGTGTTATCCTCTTCCCATCCTCTTCATCCTCTTCCAGTGTCATCCTCTTCCCATCCTTTTCCAGTATTATCCTCTTTCCATCCTCTTCATCCTCTTCCAGTGTCATCCTCTTCCAGTGTCATCCTCTTCCCATCCTTTTCCAGTGTTATCCTCTTCCCATCCTCTTCATCCTCTTCCAGTGTCATCCTCTTCATCCTCTTCCAGTGTCATACTCTTCCCATCCTTTTCCAGTGTTATCCTCTTCCCATCCTCTTCATCCTCTTCCAGTGTCATCCTCTTCCCATCCTTTTCCAGTATTATCCTCTTTCCATCCTCTTCATCCTCTTCCAGTGTCATCCTCTTCATCCTCTTCCAGTGTCATCCTCTTCATCCTCTTCCAGTGTCATCCTCTTCATCCTCTTCCAGTGTCATCCTCTTCCAGTGTCATACTTTTCCAGTTATTTCTGTACAAAACAGCTCGTTATGCTGCTTTACATTGCAAACTGGTATTTCTTACCATATTATTTTAATGTATTGTCGTAATTATTAACACAATTTGTAGCGCAAATAGTTTATGTTTACTCCACTTATTCTCAATGCCCTGCACATTCATAGAAAATAGCTTACTTCCATGTTGCAAAAAACTGGCAGTGGGATTAAGTTTTTTTTTTTTTTTATTGGTCACACTGACACCCCAGTTTTTTTTTTTAAGTGAAGCCACTGTGGTGAGACAAGCTGAAAACTTTACCTTGTACATAAGGAACTTCATCAGATTTTCCAAGTTCAACTTCTCAAAGTAAGACACTCACTGATGCATTCATTAATAATGATTACAAACCCTGTCTATTTTTATGTCAAAACTATTTACTGAATAAAACACTATATACTATTACCACTCAATTATTTCAAATGTTTTTTTTTTTTTCTCAGATCAAATGTCAAATTAAACAGAAGTGGAAACCCATATTTAAAAACCTGCTTGTATGATGAAATTGTTAACCCGTACTGTCCTATATTTCGTCTGGGAGATATTGTAACCAAAACTGGACGTAGCTTTCAAGAAAGTGCCATATTGGTGAGAACACTGAAAGTGGGTTTAATGTGTGGCGGATTTGTAAAAAAAATTATTCATTAGACATTATGTGCTTATTATGCTGAATCTAACAATTTCATATAATGTCAGGGCGGTTCATTTGGGATTATGATTGATTGGTCCTGTGACCTTGATAAAGAAGACTCATATTGCAATCCTAAATACAGCTTTATGACTCTGGGCAGCAACACAACTGGATTTAACTTCAGGTACACTTATCAAGTGCTCTTTTTTTCTGCCCTTATGTTTCCTGTGAAAGTAAATGTTTGAAGAATAAATGAAAATGTATAAAAGTAGTTGTTATGCTCAAGATCTCCGATAACTGTCTTCTCAGATTTGCTGAGTATTCTATAGATGCAGGAGAAAGGCAAAGAACACTTTACAAAGTGTTTGGAATTCATTTACAAGTCATAGTGTTTGGAACGGTATGTGACTCAATGACAGCAATCCACAGGTGCTGTATATATAATTGTATATGTATAATTCTTTGCTTTTTTTAATCTTTTCCAGGCAAGAAAGTTTAGTATTATTAATACCATCATCAGCATAGCATCAGTTCTAGCTTTAATGACTACTGTAAGTAAATATTCAGATCGCTGTGATTTTTTTTGAGATAACATTATTACTTGGTCGTTGGCTTTATCTACACAAGGCCATTGTAACATATAACTCTGAAGCTGAGACATTATTTTAAATGAGCATTAATAACTTACAAGACCAAAATTCCAAGTCATAATGTTGTTATCATACATCATCCATTTTATATAAATGGCTGCTAACAAGATTGTTTTTCTCCAGGGTTCTTTCTTGTGTGACACCATACTACTGTGCATGATGAAGAATAGCCATTTTTACAGAGACTCAAAGTTTGAGAGAATAACAAAGTATGTAACAGAAGCGTGTTTGATAGAAATACCTGTGTTGTTTACTTTGATTTAAGAAAAATATCATTTGAGTAATGCATTATTCTCTTATTCTTTCATATATCAAATGTCATTAAATACATGTAATTGCATGCATTGATCATCTTTATTTTATATCTCCTTAGGAATGACAAAGAAAGTCCAGCAAAAAAGATGCCAGAGCGTCCGAAGAGAAAGTTCAGTTTATGAAATTTGCAATAATAGCAATGCATGTAGTGTGAAATATGAGGGAAGCGGTTTATATTAGCTGAAGTCTAGAATATGTTATTTATATAATATAATGTATTATGTATAAATACAATGACATATTCAGATTTATGTTTGTGTTGGACTTCCTTATGCTGTGTCTAATGGACAGCACCTGTAGAAACTTAATGCATATTTATTCATCAAGTTTTTTAATGTCTTGTTTTTTTAATGTCTTGTTTAATGACCATAAACTCTCAATGTTAAATTTGCCATGTATTGTAAATGAGGGAATTGCTGGTCCTTCACCACTTATTTTACACTAATACTATCAGCATCGAGCATAAATAATTAGCGTATGAGAGATGACTCAATACATTTATTGCATTAACTTCAGAAGGTTAATTATAGTCCATTATATTTATAATGGCATTTTAATATGATTTTAGTCATTAAACTCATTCAATGGATTAATCATGACTCATTTTTCTTTAAGTTGTAATTTTTTATCATAGTGGCCATTATACTAGAAATGTTCTACTACAATGAATCTGTTGCTGTATGATTTACTGTATGATGAATTAATCTAACAAACTAATAGTGTTGCACTAACTATTACTGCCACATTACATTTTAAAGTATACCAAAAAGAGTGTTGTTGCTACACAAAGTTACCAGAAGAGGTCACACAACACTAAATTAGCTTGAAATTATTTTTAAATAATTTCCCCCGAGTGTTTACATACTTTACATGATAAAACAGAATAATTTTAAAGAGAAACAAAATTTGATATCCTGATAAAACATGACATTTCGTTCCTTCCAACCCCAATCCATCTCTCCGCCCATCCATCTTATATTTACTACTATAGGCCTATGTATCTATTAAATGTGTCATTTAAATAAAATTGAAAAATAACTAACAAATCACAGATTCTTGATTTTAATGTATTCTACAAAATCCCAAATTTTCATGATTTAGGGTTTTACATTTGCTAGTGTTAGTGTTCTTGTGGGCTCAATAATAATCTTGTCAAAAGGGTTTAGCAGTGTCTACCGTGTGCAGAAAAACACTTTATTTTTACATGCATTACCACCCACAGAATCTTGACAGATCTGGCACTTGAGTCGGAGCTCAGTTAACCTCAGGGCATTTGTGTGACACAGCTCTAATTGGCTTTGTACAAAACTGTGCCATGATGCCATTGCCATCTTCAAAGGATACAGATGTTAACTAAGGATACTTTGGAGTCTTTTGCCAAACTCTGCATGGATGGGCAGACTTGGTGGATTTGGGGCCACTAAAGCTTTGTAACAGTGTTGATAGATTCTGATGATATATAACATACAATAGTAGGCTACAATATATACATTATATAGAGAACAAGAAGGGATTGTGTAATTAATTTGAGATCGGGCTGATCAGAGGGGATCAATATGATATTTTTAACACTTAATTTTTTATTTTTTATTAAATATGATTCCTCCACCACCCCATAAAAATGTACACATATACAGATCACTCCATATTATTATTACACGATACACCGTGTTTAACTAATCACAGACTTGTCAATCAGACCAAAAGCACATTGTGCGTGATAGGCCTAACGTTACTGCTTTTACTGAATAACTTTTATATTAGACTAAAAAGTAAATACTGCCAGCTACTTCATGTAGCCTATTATATTAATATATAATATTATTATATTACTAATTACTCCGCCAACTAAAATAGTTTCAAACAAAGCCAAACTAACCGTTGCACTTCTTAGCAAGACAAATTATATTTTGAACGAATCATTTGAGAAAATTCAGTTGATTGATTCACTGTAACTTGTTGCCACTTACTTTGTGTCGACGTGACCTGCACAAAAATACTAAATTCAATGACTGATACGGCACGAAATGACAAGTGGAGTGATACAGCGAAAGTCCCAGTGCATGTTGAACTCACGCCAGTTGACCAATCAAATCCGAGGACCGGAACTTACTGTTGTATATTGTATACTTATTTATACAGTATTTATGAGATCATTATGCAAATCACACAATTTTTAAGTAACTTAAGTCTCTTTCCATATTTCACATGCAGTTAGGCTACCATAGGCTCTTGTGAGTTGTAGGCTATAGTATGATAACTTTAAGATATTTCTTGTATATATATATTTTAGATTATTAAAATTTTCCTTAGTTTAAGTAGGTAGCTAGCAACACTAGCAAAACAAAATGGCTACTGCTAACTGCTTTCAATACTGCAAAGCAAGAAAAAAAGCTTCTGATCGAAAATGTTGAGAATTCAATAGATGGCCCTGAAAAATAGTCCCACTGAAGCTATAATATTTTACACATTTTGTACATGTACTGATAAAAAAGACGAGAGGAAACCATTTCATGAAACGTGAAAATTAAAAGCAGGAGATTGCATTCAAAATGAATCCTTCGGAGCATAATTGTCACAGTACTCCATAGAAGTTTTGTAAAGAGTTTTATTCCAGTACTCAAGAATCAGAGAAACGTAGGTAACAAAAAGAGACACGACACACTTTGCAAATGCAAGTCAAACTTTATTTTGGTTAGAGGGGAATGTTTGTGCAACACGTTCCTGAAAAAATGTGTATCTGGAATGACAGTTTTCGGTTACATAAAACAGGTGCGCACTGCTACCATTCAAGTGACATTTTGTTCTTTGGTGGAACAAGATGAGACACACTCAACTCCTCCAAACACACACTCCTGTAGTCCAAAACTGCCATTGTGTTGTTTTGGGAAGGGGTGGGGTGGTGATGGGGGCAGGAGTGCATGTGCTCCAAAAGACAAAGAACTTTCCAGAGCTTTCCTTTGAATGTTTCAAGGACACTAGGGAGTTCAGCAGCGTAGCTCTCGCCACCTAAACTAGTGATTCAGCAGCAACTATTCACATCCGAACAGATCTTGCACCTGCAGCAGCACATAATGTTCAAATTTTTTTTTCTGAACGATATCAGTAGTTTTTAAAGTAGCTCGGCCCCCCATTGGTGAGCAGTGCACTACGTCTATGGAATGTGCACTAGCGCCGGTCCATTTTCCATCCCAACGGTCACATACACTCAGTCCACATCAGCCCAGAGGAGGCACTTCACATAGAGATAGTAACTATTAAAAGGGTAACCTGACATTGTACTCTTGAGCTGTAACAAGGCATGAAATAAGGATCGAAAGAAATACAGGAAGTCTAAACACTCAAGCTTTACAAATGACATGTTCGACAGGCAAATGGAATAACTTGTGCCTGCCGATACTCAGCCTATTAACAATATTGCATTGCAAAAAAACGCATAATATAAATTAGACCTTAACTCTATCCTCACAACATTTATAAGAAATAATTTTTTTGTGGTCAGAATAAAATAGCAGCTTCATGGGAAACGTATTCTGTCGTGAAAGCTTAAACTAGGCTTGCTGTTACTGAAAAACATTAGCCTGGATGCAAAGCATTTAGTAGAGCTTGCATTTCCAACATATGTGTTCGCCCATGACAGGAAACAGATTTAGGACTTAAACAGGTTTTGCTGCAATGGTAAACAAAGCAAATAAAGATGCTAGTTTAGGAAACATAACATGACATGGTGTGAATGCAACAACTGTTACAGCCCAATACTACACATACATTGCTAAATACATAAACAAAAAAAAACCTCTTCCTTTCGGGAGTTAGCTCCCCCGATTTAAGGTTTCACAAAAAGAAATTTAGCTAAATATCATTAATTTATATTCTACGCCATGCCTATTGTCAAAGACAGTTCAGGGATCAAATATTTAAGGCTTTTGAGGGGCAAACAGGGAGGTTATGATACTGGGTGTCACGGCTCCACCCATTCACTCATCTGCAGTTGCTCCACTCGTTACACCAAAGTCTGACAATACCCATGCTCCCCTGCCAGATGGCCTGTCCTGATAAAGGTGGAGAGACTTGTTGGACATAAAAGTCAAGGGAGAATATGAGAAGAGGCACAGGTAGACCTGAGAAAGAGAGAAACTCTCCATGGGAGTTAAACCGTGGAGCATCGGATGGATCAATTATCAGATTCACAGAACAACTAAACTTAAAATGTGTATTTTACTTGGGTTGTTTCCCAGCAAGTAGACCTAGACTGTCACCGGCGGTGCATTTCAGCTATTTCAGATAAGACCGACATGACACATCAAGTGCCTAAGGTGGGTGGAAAATGCAGTGGCAGGCTTCAGCTGACACAACAGCGTGTGACGGAGATGGAAATGATCCCGCCAGGGAAGAGCGGTATGGTGTTAATGATGGAGCAAAAGCAGGGAGCCAATCCGCCCCAATACACAGCATTCACACCGGCTAATCACACCTCTCAGTTACAGTAGCACAGCAGTGAAGCCACAGGCTAGCCTGCGGTGCTCATTTATATTGCGCTTACATCAACACACTTCCGTCATCCAATTACGGTCAAGGACGTCTTTCCTTTAATGATGAACTAACGCACAAGCGGGTGATGAAACTCTTCCCAAAGGAAGCTTTGGGTCGGCTGCTAAAGTCGGTCTGCTGTAAGACCTGTAGTGAGTCGAAGCCTGCTGTCACCATCTCTTTCCAATGAAATTCAAGTAGTAACAATTAAGTTGAGACTAAATAAACCCCTAAGCTATGCAATTAGGGCACAGCACAAGTCTCGAAGCAATTTCAGTCTACAGCAGTCTCCATTTAAACTGAAATCTAATAAGATACTCAGGAAAAAAAAAAATAGGATAAAAAGGATAGCGCATTAGCTGACACTTCAAGGGAAGGATTAACATTGTACACGATGTGGCTTTACTCGGCCCAGTGTAACATTTCCATCAAAGACTTTAACCTGATTCATGTTCAACAGTCTGAAAAAGAAACAGTCTTGTCATATGTGCATATCCCAGTATCAGTTTGCACTTTCATATCGATTTAGGATTAGTTACAAAAGCACAATATGTAAACATTGAGAGGAACAAAAATAAAATCAACCTCTATACATTGTACAAGCTGTTAGCTTCGATGGAACAGCCAAAGATTTCAGCATCATGGCACCCCTTAAATGTCTTCAGTGAGTTAGTACTTCAAATCTCAAGTAGGCCTAAACTACATACAAATGGAATTTGCTGAGAATCTCTTCTCAGCTTTTTAAATATGGACATTTGCTAATCAAAAAGAAAGAGCGAATAAATATATGCGTGTTATGTGGTACATTTTTCCATTTACATTACACAGACCAGATAGGAATTGGAGAAAAAAAAAACAGTGCTGATGTCATAAACTGAAGCTGTTATGGCTGTTTTCTTGGGGGGGAAAAATAAAAATAGAATAAATAAATGCCTAATTTCCCCCCCCAACGGCTAATTATTTAAGTAATCTATACTAATAGAAATTAAAATAATAAAAGAAACCAAAGTGGCACATGGGTGTTCAGATTTGTGGTAGCCACGTAAATAATCATAAAGGAAACATTCAGTAGATCACTTGCAAGATGGGGACATTTTTTCCTTGCGCTCCGACTAACACTGACTAGCGTGAACTGGCCGCAGCTCATCTGTACCCTGGGTGGTGGATGTGGACATTTCTACTATCACCTGAATCTGTGGCCCTGCTGACTGAGGCTCTGTGCATCTTTGACATTGTGCCAGGATTCTGCGCTCGGAAGCAGGGCGCCTGGAAGTCGCCACCCATGTACTCCATGGTCTGCATCAGGTTGGTCTGGCTTGAAATGGACGGCCCGGTCCTGTACTGTGCTCCAGGGGTGCAGTCTATGGAGGCCCCTGAGAGGCCTCCGTGGAACGGCCCCACCAGGTCTTGAGACCCTGAGCTATCACTGTTTGGCGTGGGCAGGATGCTGTTCCAGTGAGGCTGCATGTAGTGGCCGTTGCTGTAACTCATGGGCATCCCGTTGACCGGAGGAGATGGAGTTGGTTTATCAGTGGGGGGCTTCAAGTTGAAGGGCTGAGCCATGCACACCTCCTGCGGGTAGCCCATGCTCTTGGTGAGGAACCCCGGTCCCACTAGGCCTTCTCTAGGGAGATTCTTGCCCTGGTGAGCCGCTCCCTCCGGAAGGTGCTGAAGGTGTGCCAACTGGTGCTGGCCCCAAGGGCCCTGCTGACGTTGTGGCTGGGACTGCTGCTTCATGTCATTGTGGTAAAGGGGCATCCTGTTCATGGCCGCGATGTCGGGCAGATGCAGAGCAGGACCACCTTTGTCAGAGTTGCCAAGGATGCAAGAAGGCGGAGGACCCACAACGTGATGAGTGCACACCCGAGAGCTTGCGTTGATGAGCTGGTTGCGGCTGATGGGACTGGGGTTGGCGATCTGTCCTTCACACACGGAGGTAGAGCCCATGCCAGCCCGAGCCTGGCAGAACTGGTTGATCTGATTGACGATGCTGCTCAAGTCGCTGGGCCGGTTCTGGTGCAGGCTGGCAGCCATGGACAGCGGTATGGTTGAGGTAGACACAGTCACATTGGGAGGGGCATCGGCGTCAGGCAGTTTGCGTGCCATCTGTAAGCCTGCCAGGGGTGGCTGTAAGACCCCCGGGGCCGGTGGCCCAGTGCAAGACGCCTGTGGCATGGGTTGGGATTGAGAGAAGCCCTGGGAGTGTTGCAGGTTCACCGACTGCGCGATATCAGGCAGATGCCGTAGTCCTTGCGGACCAGGCAACTGTGTCTGCTGCTGCATGAGAGTCTGTTGGTGGTTTAGGGCGTGGTGTGGTACTGGCGGTTGGTGAGCCTGGCTCTGATGTAAAGCCTCCTGATGAGCCAGGCTCTGCTGTGGTTGTAAACTACTCTTCTGCTGCAGGGATTGTGAATGGGCCTGCAAGGCCTGAGAGTGGGCGAGACTCTTCTGGCCTAAAGGAGTCTGAACGTGTGGAACAGTGTGAGGAACATTTAAAGTGCTGGAACTGGTGTAAAGCCCACTGTGCGGGTTCATGATGAGCTTGGGGAGAAAACGGGCTCGGCCGCCTTCAATGTCCTTGAGGATCCCTTTGACGGGGACTTTGACGATGGCCAAGAGGCCCGTCCGGGTGTTGACCTGAGGTGGGTAGGGGCTGTATCGCTGGCTGGAGGTGTCGAGACCGTTAACGGTGCGGCGAATATGCTTCCTCTGAGGTACTTTCACACTATTGGGGAAGATTTTTATAGTCAGTGGGTTATTGGCAACTTTCTTAGCATAGGCATCCAATTCCGCTGGGGTAGGATAGTGTGCTGATCTCATCCTCTGTGTAGTGTCCCCTGTGAGCAAGAGAAGGCCAAACGTTAAGGTTAATGCAAGGAATTTGGCGCTCGCATGATAGCATATGTCTGCTTAACAGGGCTTTGATGGAGCAGGGTCAAGAGGAAGAGCATCTGTTTCACTAACAAAGGGATAAACTAGGTCAAACAAACATGCAGCCTAATCAGAACAAAGCTCATTTCAGTTAATGGCAGCTTACATTTCTGAAGTCCAGTGTTCATCTGCGTGTACGAGAGAAGCTGGAAGGAGGGGTTTGATACCGGCAGACAGGCCAGCATGTCACAATGAGACTAATGCAACATTGGACTTTTACTCCTCATCACACTGTAAAGGAAACATTCATGTCACGAACAAAAACGGATTCACATCAATTGTCTCTTAAAATACATGGTGTAAAAAAAGAAACATTGGCTATTTTCTTCTCTGAGGGCGTCATTAAAGAAATCCAATTTTACGTGCAGACGTAGGTTTAATGGAACACACTGTGCAATGTGACTTAATGAGAGTAATAAATTATAACGGCGGAAATTTCTATTTTAATTAGTGGTGGTTTGGTGCAACACAGCACAAGCAATAATCAAAAAGTCTTAGGTTAAAAGAGTCACAGAATGAAAATCACCACACCGTGAATATCCCAACAAGCTAAGTAAGTAATATTGAGTAGAATGTCAACAAATGACATGATTTACAGCCAGCCGCAAAAAACGGCAATCACGGAAGTGTACAAAGGCCCTACCCTTGCTAATTCACCTGAACATCCATCAAACGTTGTAGCTATAGATCTCTGTAATTGCCTCATTGTAGCCATTTATTTAAATATCATGCATTCAAGCATGACCTTTTTAAATAGCTCTCTGAAACAGCTGGTGTCAGGGCCCACAGTGCACACCCTGCAGTTTGAGTGTCAGGAGTGCGATGCAAACGCATTTTCCCGTCTGCCTGGCAGGTGCCCAGGGGCACGGCAGGGGATGCGGCAACACGACCACAGGCCACATGCTTCCAGCTGATTCATCCAATCTGAGATGTGCAGGTGTCAAAAAATGCAGTCAAGACCGAGCCTGACATGTTCTGAGCACCCAACCCCCAACTATTTTCATCAGGAAGCTGCTTTTAATTTTACAGTAAAGGTGGTGTTATCAGCTGAATCTGACACTCACAATGCCTGAAACACTCTGGATCTGTGAAGAATTCATGTGCGTCCTGTTATATCATGCCCAAAACGGACCAATGGTAGGGGGGAGTTGTTTATTTAGGTGGTGCTCTTCAAAAAAACCTTTGAACGGAGTTCAATATCTAGACAAACTCACAGTTTAGAGCTCTTACAAGCAAATACTGTATAGCCAAGCAGAATTTTTGGAGGACATTTAAGCTGACACACATTTAGAGTCTTAATTAAAAACAACAGAAGCTCTTGATAAGCTGAGCTACATTGTGACTCCCAAACACAGTTAGCCAAGCATAAAAACAAAGCACTTTAATTTGAAAGTACAATTTGTAATTGCTATATCATCCACCCTATAATAAATCTTCTAGCCACCAACTTTGCTTAGCTACAAGCTAACGTTACATGCATTAAATTTACCTCAGACCAACACAGACACACTTACACAATTTAGGGTCATTACAGCACACATCTGCCCTGTAGATAAGATGTATCCGGATGATTGAAGGTTTGTCGTGGTTATCTCATGCCCAGCTAACTAGCAACCAATCTGAAGGGTGATTAGAGTGATCTCAGCCTGTCTTGGTACCTCTGCCTCTACACTTGCTACTGCCACTAGCATATAGCCTGTGTCTTCTTTGTGCGAGCCACTGCCCGGCTTTCATCTCTCAGCTTCTTAAAACCACATTAAAACGACCAGATTGGAGTTGTCGAAAGCAGAACTTACTCTCTGGCTCCGGGATGAGACGTGCGATTGTTTAAAAGAGCATTTTGCTGGGTTATTCGGCACCTGTGCTCTGCTTGTGTCGATAAAGCGCTTGTCTAGTCACTGCTGCTGCCCAGTGCCCACTGCAGCCTATATCCGCGCATGCGCAGTAAGCTTTTCCCACGTGTCTTCCTCGCTGAGGTCGAGAAAACGCGACGGTAACTTGGGCTCAACGCGCCACCTACTGAATGGGAATTATACTAGATCCCATATTATATTATATTATATTATATTATATTATATTATATTATATTATATTATATTATATTATATTATATTATATTATATTATATTATATTATATTATATTATATTATATTATATTATATTATTAATTTAGCCACTATTTCATTTTTTCTTCATTTATTTTTTTCTTCATTTCAGTATGTCACAACGCAAACAATTCTTAATAGTCTAAAAACATATTATGGTGGTAAGTTACATGAATGTGATGATAATCATTCAATATAATGGTAGGTTATATATCAAAGATACAACCACAGTACTTTTCTGTAAACGTCACTTGCCAAGTCTTTCTTTCTGTCTTCAGAAAGGCATAAAGTCTATCCCTCAGGTCTCAGGACTATAAAATCAAACAATGAATGGAGACAAGATGGGAATTAGACATGAATACAGTCAGCATTTTAGTAATCATGACAACACGGAGCCTGTGTTCAAAAACCCAGTGAGCTGCCTACCTAGATAGCATTTTGGACATCATAGGCCCGTTCATACGTCTAGGTAGGGAGCTCGTTAGGTTTATCACACACACATACAGGATCACGTCCCTCTCTCCCTCCCTTCCTTCCTTCCAGTGGTGGGCAGGGTCGCTTGTGTTGACAAACATTAATTCTCTCACTAGGGTGGGGATCTATACATTTTACGAGTCAAAAAGCTGCTAAATAAACGCTTTATTAAACATTTAGGAATATACACGAAAGGATTACTGATCGGTATTAAATGCAAGTATGGGTTGCTGCCTGACTGTTGGACCAAATGAAGCGCTCGTTGTGTCAGGTATCGTAATAATCTGTGTTTACAATATCTTGCAATATTAAGACCTTTATAGAATATTTCAAACAATTATTGCACTAATTATTTAATGAAGTGTTTATTTCACTGTTTCGCATGTGTTATGAATTGTGTGGTAAATAATATCATCCAGTCGTGTTAGCTAGCTACAGCTACGTTAGCCCAGCTCTTCCGCATTTAAACGAGTCATTCATAACTGTTTTAAACAATTTTCGGCGTTTTAAATTTCGCATATTTCCGAAACTTAGTATAAATCTAAACGTAAACGTAGTCCATTCATTTATGAAATTCAGTGTTTACAAATAATTCTCCTCCTTATTTATGCATATCACAATGTTTGCTAGGTGCATCCCGTTCACTGATCTATATAATGACATTGTGTCATAATAATGTCATTCTATATAGATCAGTGATCCCGTTACACTCTAACCATGATTTAAGGTTACACTTTTTTTGGTAACACTTTATTTTAAGGTGTCATTATTACAGTGTAATTATATATTTAAGTTCTGTATAATATTATTTAACAACATGTACTTACTATAGGGTTAGGATTTGGTCGAGGGTTATATGCATCATTTAATGTTATTACTATGGTAAGTGCTTGTAACATATGTAACAAGGACACTGTAAAATCAAGTGTTACCTGATTTAATATATAATAACTCAGTTATTCATTCATACTAATTATACTATGCTCTCATTCTCATAGAAACGGCCACTTTAGAACATAGTAGTGAAATGTTGTGGTTACATTGTGATGATTTTTGCTTTTTTTTAAAGGCTGTTTAACGTAAAGTGCCCTGTTTTTACTACACTTAAAAGGTACTGTGACGATATTGTGCTACAGTAATTATCTAAAAAAATACCATGTTATTTACATGGTACTTCCAAGAACACTGTAGGACCACCATGGTACTGTACGTCCAAATTCATGGTAGTACCACGGTACGTTTTTGTATGTTGCCTTAAGTACAATGGTACCTTGGAGTACCATGTTAATACCATAGTACAGGGGTTTTCAATCTTTTATATTCTGATGCGACATTCCCTCATCCTAAAATTTAAAATGCAGCTATTAATTTGTATGCATAAAGACCGAATTTATACTGTTACAAGTTAATAGGCTAGTATAAATATACGTTAAATTATTATTTAGAAAATATTTAGTTTCTGTTAGATGTATTATTTATTTAAAAGTGATGTTTTAATATATTTATTTAAATTCTATTTTACGTTTATCTTATTTCAGTTATTTATTTTGTTTAATTTTTTGTTACATTTTTTTACCCTGTTTTTCTCTAAACTTTTTCTTGAACCCCAGTTTGAAAAACTGCCATAGTACATAAATATGGTCATATTCAGTCGGACTATCATGGTATGACTTTAAGTGTAGACATCTTAGCATCTTCTAGTTCACTTCATGTTTGAATCCCCATTGAACTCAGTTCATTAGATCATATCCTGTGTGTGTTCTTGTTCTCTCCTAGGTGCCTGTTGTGGGGCAGATACAAAGACGTATGTGGTGGGAGGCTGGGCGTGGGCATGGTGGCTTATATCAGACACCCAGAGGTAACAACAGTCAAATAAATGAGGATCACATTTCACTGTGTGGTGCAGTAAATGCAGTCAAAGTTCACCTTAACCATAGTGAATCAATGTTTGGTTATAATTACAATGCTTGACCTTAGAAAACTAAAAGCCGCACCTGGTTAGGTGTGTTTGTCACAAACCAGTTTGGCTTTGCAATGTGCATGCTGTACAGAGGTCTTCAGAGATCGCTTGACATATTTTAATCATATACATCTTCTGTCATTCAGATATTGATATTATTCTATTTCTGTTCACATCTTAAATTTCCATGATCAGCTGAATTGGTTGATTTATGAGCTGATCTGATGCTTTTCTATTGAGCGCAGCGTTTGCTTCATGCTTTCATCTTGAACATCTCTCTGACTGCATACAGTTCTTCCTGTCAGCCACTGCTATTGTCCTTTGGCACTTTTGTCCCATTTTTTTAATTCTGCAATGCTAACAAGCCTTGGAATAACAGGTTTGTCTTGCCTTAGGCACTCTTCTTAAAGGTTGTGTTTAACTTTTGGTTATTTCCCCCCCCCCAGAATTACACTAGAGATTATGACACTACAGCCTAAGTGTGAAGACGTGGAGACAGCGGAGGGAGTCGCCATTACAGTTACAGGAGTTGCTCAAGTAAACACTCTCTCATGGACCGCTCACAGCTCATTTACTGTTGTTTTATTAAATGTATGATTAGATTTCTATCATTAGATGTGAACACAAATGTTGGGGTGATCCGTCCTATTCCTGAAAGGGTCTACCTTGCAGGATTGGAACCCTGCAGCTAAACTCTGGAGGAAGTCCTCTGGATCTTAAGGAACAGGATTAGACACATATTATATATATATATATATACTGTATATATATAGAATATAGTATCATAATGGTATATTAATGATTGATTCACTTTTGCAGCTTAGTATCAGACATTATTTGAATTGAATTCATTGAATTAAATGATCTTTTTGTACTTGAAAGTTACAGTATACACAACCATTCAAAAGTTTGGGGTCAGTAATATTTTTGTTTAAGAAATTAATACTTCTGTTCAGCAAGGATTTATTAAAAGAAAAGTGACAGTAAAGACATTTATAATCTTACAAAAGATGTCAAATTCAAATAAATACTGTTCTTTTGAATTTTTCTTTTCATAAAAAACCTCTTTTCAACATTGATTAGAAATTTTTCTTGAGCAGCAAATCAGGATTTAGAATGATTTCTGAAGGATCATGTGACCGAAGACTGGGGTAATGATGCTGAAAATTCAGCTTTGTCATGACAGGAGTGAAGTATATTGTAAAATATATTCAAATTGATAACTGTTATTTTAAATTGTAATAATATCTCACAATATGCCGGTTTGTATTGTTTTGACCAAATAAATGCAGCCTTTGTGAGCTGAAGAGACTTCTTTAAAAAACACTTAAAATGTTACCGACCCTCTAAACGTTTGAAAGGTATGTAGTAGTTATTATTAACACTTAATGCATTCACTTTTATTCCAAAAGATTTTTCAGAGTGCAAAAGAAAGCTAAATGAAATTTACTGTTGTCTTGTGTTTTTGTCAGATCAAGGTTATGACTGACAAAGACTTGCTAGCTGTTGCCTGTGAGCAGTTTCTGGGAAAGTCTGTCATCGAAATCAAGGCTGTGGTCCTGCAAACCCTGGAGGGACATTTGCGTTCAATCTTAGGTTAATATATTACCAACAATTATAATAACCTCATTAAAAAACATTCAAATGTGATTCTATGAAGCTAATGTTTTGCTGCTGTTACAACGATAGGCACTTTAACTGTGGAGCAGATCTACCAGGACAGAGATCAGTTTGCTCAGCTGGTAAGGGAGGTGGCAGCTCCTGACGTGGGCCGGATGGGCATTGAGATCCTCAGCTTTACCATAAAAGTAAGTTATGGGTGTTTCTTAATGCAAAGTCATACTCATAGATAAGTGGCCCACCTCCATTATAGACCTCAAGGACCAGTGCTCATGTAAATATCAAACTGCCAGACTCATTTTTTTATATATTAATCCTAAAATAAGTGTTATTTTAGTATTATTTATATAATGTTATATTTATTATATATTAATTAGTATAAAATAAATAGCACAATTATAATTTTAACAGTTTTCATTTTTTTATTTTTAGTTTGAGGGCCCGTTTACATGACACTGGTTTCAACTAAATCTTTTTATGCGTTTTGGCCGTTCATTTACACTAAAACAGTGTTTTGGGGAACTGAAAACTGATGATACTGATGAAACTGAAAAACTGATACTGTTATTAAACTACAAAAACGCAAATTTGTGAAAACGGTGACATCATGTGCATGTGTATTACTTGTTCAGTCTATAGGCACATAGTGTTTCTTTACAAAGTGGATCGCCAACTACTGAATAATATAGCATTTTTAGTAATTTTCGAGGATCCGTGTGAATGCGGACCGTTTTGACAACGTTCTCGTCTGTACACGAAAAAACGCAAGTACATGGTTTTCATGTAAAAAGTATTCAATATACTTTTGGTAAATCATAGTTAATTATTATAATCTACACAGGATTATTAGGAACACCTGTTCAATTTCTCATTAATGCAATTATCTAATCAACCAATCACATGGCAGTTGCTTCAATGCATTTAGGGGTGTGGTCCTGGTCAAGACAATCTCCTGAACTCCAAACTGAATGTCAGAATGGGAAAGAAAGGTGATTTAAGCAATTTTGAGCGTGGCATGGTTGTTGGTGCCAGACGGGCCGGTCTGAATATTTCACAATCTGCTCAGTTACTGGGATTTTCACGCACAGCCATTTCTAGGGTTTACAAAGAATGGTGTGAAAAGGGAAAAACATCCAGTATGCCGCAGTCCTGTGGGCGAAAATGCATTGTTGATGCTAGAGGTCAGAGGAGAATGGGTCGACTGATTCAAGCTGATAGAAGAGCAACTTTGACTGAAATAACCACTCGTTACAACCGAGGTATGCAGCAAAGCATTTGTGAAGCCACAACACGCACAACCTTGAGGCGGATGGGCTACAACAGCAGAAGACCCCACCGGGTACCACTCATCTCCACTACAAATAGCAAAAAGAGGCTACAATTTGCAAGAGCTCACCAAAATTGGACAGTTGAAGACTGGAAAAATGTTGCCTGGTCTGATGAGTCTCGATTTCTGTTGAGACATTCAGATGGTAGAGTCAGAATTTGGCGTAAACAGAATGAGAACATGGATCCATCATGCCTTGTTACCACTGTGCAGGCTGGTGGTGGTGGTGTAATGGTGTGGGGGATGTTTTCTTGGCACACTTTAGGCCCCTTAGTGCCAATTGGGCATCGTTTAAATGCCACGGCCTACCTGAGCATTGTTTCTGACCATGTCCATCCCTTTATGGCCACCATGTACCCATCCTCTGATGGCTACTTCCAGCAGGATAATGCACCATGTCACAAAGCTCGAATCATTTCAAATTGGTTTCTTGAACATGACAATGAGTTCACTGTACTAAAATGGCCCCCACAGTCACCAGATCTCAACCTAATAGAGCATCTTTGGGATGTGGTGGAATGGGAGCTTCGTGCCCTGGATGTGCATCCCACAAATCTCCATCAACTGCAAGATGCTATCCTATCAATATGGGCCAACATTTCTAAAGAATGCTTTCAGCACCTTGTTGAATCAATGCCACGTAGAATTAAGGCAGTTCTGAAGGTGAAAGGGGGTCAAACACAGTATTAGTATGGTGTTCCTAATAATCCTTTAGGTGAGTGTAAATAATAATAATAAAAAACATTAAAACAAGTAATACAATTTAAAATATTACCACTTGTCTTTTTTTTAACAGGATGTCTATGATAAGATGGACTACTTGAGCTCTCTTGGAAAAACGCAGACAGCGGCTGTACAAAGGGACGCCGACATCGGAGTGGCCGAGGCAGAGAGGGATGCTGGGATTAGAGTAAGAGACTTCTGGCTTTACATTCTTTATTGCTAATGCATTATCCACTAGATGTGTGGCATTCATTAGCTTCTGTTTTCTCCCACGTCCCTGATCAGGAAGCTGAGTGCAAGAAAGAAATGATGGATGTGAAGTTCTTGGCGGACACTAAAATGGCCGACTCCAAGCGAGAGCTGGAGCTGCAGAAAGCTGCTTTCAATCAAGAAGTGAACACCAAGGTTGGATTAAATTTCATTTCAGTCCAGGGCCATCATCTTAAATCTTAGTTATCTTGTTAGCCGCCCGGATGTGGGCCTTTACATTCATATTTATCAGTCTCAGATGAGAGTGATAGTAATCGTGTGATATGTGTCTCTCCTCCACACAGAAAGCCGAGTCTCAGCTGGCCTATGAACTGCAGGCAGCGAAAGAGCAACAGAAGATCAGATTGGAGGAGATTGAAATCGAGGTGGTGCAGAGGAAAAAGCAGATCACCATTGAGGAGAAAGAGATTGAGAGGACAGAGAAGGAGCTAACCGCTACGGTCAAGCGTCCAGCTGAAGCTGAGGCTTACAAGATGCAGCAGCTGGCTGAAGGGCAGAAGTGAGTGTGATCTAAATACATCAATATTTTAATATATTATAATAATGTTAATAATATATCAATAAATCTAAATAAATGTTTCATTAGATGCGATTAATGTTAAAACGATAAATCGCATCTAACATAAAAGTATGTGTTTATGAAATATATATGTGTGTGTGTATATATATATATATATATTATATATATTATATAATATATATATAATAATATATATATATATATATATATTATATACATTATTTATATATATCAATTATATATGTGTGTGTGTGCATGTCTGTGTGTATATATACACACAGGTGAAACTCGAAAAAATTGAATATTGCGCAAATTTCATTTATTTCAGTAATTCAACTTAAAATGTGAAACTAATATATTATATAGACTCATTACATGCAAAGTGAGATATTTCAAGCCTTTATTTGTTATAATTTTGATGATTATGGCTTACAGCTATGAAAACCTTTTCACAATATTCTAATTTTTCAAGTTTCACCTGTACACAAACACATTATAAATGTATAAATATATATATGTGTATATATATATATATATATATATATATAAATATAATAATATATATACACACATTATATAAACACACACTTTTATGTTGGATGCGATTAATCGTGATGATTAATCGTAAATTAATCTATTAATAATTACTATTAATAATATAATAATAAAGGTAATAAAAAAAATTATAGATTAAATAAAGAATAGAATAAAACCACATCTCTACAGTAAAGAGATTAACAAACTACTGAAACACACTGAGTAGTGTAAAGTACAAAAAACTTGGGACATAATATGATCATGAAAATTTGGGTGGGGATGTACTTTATAATAAATTTAAATATTTTAAAATATATCATTTATTTTTTATCATTTGATTATGGGGTGAAATTTGACCTAGTTGTTGTGTAACCGTGATTAAGTGCCTTGCTAGTTGGATCATCCTCTTTGATTTTGAGCCTGCAATATTTTGGTGTTAGGCTAGGCTACACCAGATGTTCCCTCGAAACCAAACAGGATATATGATTAATCATGTATCCATTATGTATTTGATGAACTGATTTGTGACAAACACTGAAATGAATTGTGCTATATTTGAACAGGTTGAAGAAAGTTCTGACTGCTCAGGCCGAGGCAGAGAAGATTCGGAAGATCGGAGAGGCGGAGGCCCTTTCTATCTCATGTGTGGGGAGGGCCGAGGCTGAGAGTATGAGGCTGAAGGCAGAAGCCTACCAGCAGTACGGAGACGCCGCCAAGACCGCACTCGTCCTAGAAGCGCTGCCCAGGGTGAGTGAACTTATTTGGATTACCTTCATAGAGATCCCCAGTGCAGTTGTACAAGATCACTATGGGTATTGAAGGCCTTGATTTCATCTCCAGATTTTCTAACTTTGATTTTCAGATCGCAGGAAAGGTATCTGCTCCTCTGGCCAAGACCAATGAGATTGTTATTCTGAGTGGGGACGGCAGTCGTGTGACCGGGGAGGTGAACCGTCTTCTCGCAGAGCTGCCCGTGTCTGTAAATGCACTCACGGGTGTGGACCTGTCCAAGGTGAGAGTGTGTTTTAATCAATAGCTGATTACATGATTTGATTTAACCCCCAATCTTAAAAAAAGTAAATCAGGCCTTTTTACATTTTTGGCCAGGTGTTTGATGGGCCGTTCATTCAAAATGTACTTTAAGGTACACAGTAAAAAATAATAAATGAATTAATCAATAATCTCCTATGTCCTAAATTGGAAAATAAAGCACAAAAGTTGCATTCATATAAATACAGAAGAGGATTAGGGCCAAGCAATAATAAAAAAATAAAAGCATCTCGAGATTAAAGTCATTATAATGCGAAATTAAACTCGTTAAATTTCGAGAGAAAAAGTCGAAATACAATCTTGAGAAAAAACTCATTAAATATCGAGAATAAAGTTGTGTTTCGAGAAAAAACTCGTTAAATTTCGAGAAAAAAGTCGAAATAATCGTGAGAATAAACTCATACATTTATTAACGAGTTTTTTCTCGAAACACGACTTTATTCTCGATATTTAATGAGTTTATTCTCAAGATTGTATTTCGACTTTTTTCTCAAAATTTAACAAGTTTTTTTTCGAAACACAACTTTATTCTCGATATTTAATGAGTTTATTCTCAAGATTGTATTTCGACTTTTTTCTCAAAATTTAACGAGTTTTTTCTCGAAACACAACTTTATTCTTGATATTTAATGAGTTTTTTCTCAAGATTGTATTTCGCCTTTTTTTCTCGAAATTTAATGAGTTCAATTTCGCATTATAATGACTTTAATCTCAAGATGCTTTTATTTTTTTATTATTGCTTGGCCCTAATCCTCTTCTGTATATAAATAATAATATTTGTCTACTAAATTAATACATATAAATGAATGAACACCCATTATCAGCTGAAATATTTTCAAAATAAATCAATACTGATACAAATTTCTGAAATAGAAATACCGGTATGATTAAACCGAATTAAAAAATCTGTAAAAGAAAAAAATCTCTAATGTGATCGATAATCAATATGATAGAGTACCAATTTTTTTTTTTTATTCCTACAAATCATAAAGAGCATATTTTTATATGTGTTATTAAATCATTCTCTACTTCTACAGATCCCTCTGTTGCAGAAGATGACAGGTGCTCAAGCATGAAGTAAATCAGTTCCGTCTCCTCCATGATATGTTGTATGCACTCACAGAAACTGCCTTTAGAAGACTTGGGAAATCTTTTTTTTTTTTTTTTTTATAAAAAAAAACTAAACAAAAACAAACAAGTAGATATTTGATACCTCTGGTGCCTTAATGTTTCATAGGACCAGAATATCTGCATGCACTGCTGCTCCCACATTCCACAATTCACTTGATTCTTAAATCACTTGCCTTTGTGCTGCATCCGCTGGATTCAATGTAATGTCAGACACCATTAGAACAATCAGTATTGTTTTTCGTTGTGTTTCGTTGTTATTTTCTTTACTTTGTAGTGACATTATACAGAATTTTAACCTATCACACATTTTCTTTACAATTTTATACACTTCATTTTCATCTTTACACTACACAGACACTTTAACACTTAACGGTGAGTCAGCTTTAGATTACAATTAAATATTTTAATCCATCCAAAGTATACCACTACTTTTTCATTGATTTTAGGTCATATTTCTACCTGAAAAGAGGCGTTGTTACCTTACAAATCCTGCCATGATTTATAACATTCAGGAAGATTGCCATTGATGTGGAGTAGCAAGTAGCATTTAGTGTACTGAGCTCTTGGGCAATAGCATTGCCTTACGGGTAAATATCTGTCATCATAGATAGAAACAAGCCAAGTGCTTCTCTTAATATTAAATGTTGCAGACACATAAATAGACATGGCATTTATAAACCGATCCATCTACTGAATTATCATTTAGGTTACCTGAGCTCATCAATAGTTCAGATCACTCTTTGGGACTATTTTTTGCCTGTACATTTTTATGATGTTTGATTGTATGTGTGCTTTGTTTTGTTTAATTAATTTATATTTTAGACTCTTATTGGACAACATCTGTTTTTAAAAGAACTTCAGTTATGAAGAGATTTATTATTTGTTGTTGGCGAACTCTGATACATGTCTGGAAATCCATCCACTGTAATGTTATGGATATCGTTTCATGAGAACAGAGTCGAGCCATTTTTAAAATTGTTTTGTATAGTTGTATGACAGCCATGCCTAACAAAATCTTTCTAAATATTAACCCTATTTACACTAGATACTGTAATATCTGTCCTGAAATTAATTGAAATAACCCTTTATGGACAATAATGTTTTGTTCTGTTGTAGTTTATCTAGTTTGTCTTCTCCTTTGTCACTGTGAAAGTTGCATTACCTCGTTTTCCTCATTTAGTTCAGAGCGAGTGGCGTGGAGTGGTTTGCAGTAGATTTTGAAATGTGTGTACCTTTATTCTGCTGTGTTCAGTGAGTGCTGTGAAGGGGCAACAAGTCATACTAATGAAATCCAAAGAGATCGCACTCCTCTTTGTGATAAAAATAATTAATTTATAGATGGCAATGGTTATTATTTGCTTATTGTCCTTTTTATTTTTTATTTAATCTTTATAAAAACTGATTTATTGCTTTATCATTAAGACTTTTGTATTGTCATAGAAACAGATTCAATCCGTCTTTTATGTGTGTATTTGAAACACTCAGATTATTATTTTAAAGACTAATTCCGAACTATTAAAGTCATGTCAGGTTTAGCCATTTAGCATTTTAGCATCGTAGACTGTTTATGTCCTTTGTATGGCATTGGTAATGAAATGTATGGTACTGCTGTGTATTGGATAAACATTATAGGAATCCTAGAACTGTATGCCAGGATGAAGCCCAGATGTGCTTTTGCTTTAGTTGGTGAACTGACACACAAACTAACTCCAAATATGCCATTGACAATATGGGGAGGATTTGGTAGTTTTATAAATACTATTTCCACAGATTTAACTCAGCATGTTTATGGTGCATGTATTCCAAATGTAATAAATGTAATGTGAACCCGTCTCTGTCCATGGTCTTTCATTCCATTAAAGTGCTCGTGTAAAACTGTGTGAACTTTATGTAATATAATCGCATCTTTTGCTTTGCCAAAAAAAGTATCAGGCTACTAAAGTCCCGAATCACTGTGCCTGAAGTGTGCAGCGACACGGCATCTTTTGTTACGAAACACTGACACCGTGTGGCTAAGATATGCAATGCAGGATTACTCTTACAAAAGACTGTACTGGTGTGTTTTATCTTATACCCCCAGTGCTGGGTAGTAACAGATTACATGTAATCAGATTCCAAAAATTAAGTATTTGTAATTAAATTATATTACATTTTAAAATACTTGTAATCAGATACAGTCACTTTTAATTGAATACATGATTACATAATGAATAGTTTAAAATTCTTTCTACATTTTACCTTAATGCCTGATGTCTTTGTCTGGTTTTAGATGGGTTTTGGGGCACTTTGGGTGTTAGGAGACCAGCTTAAACAGCAAAGACCAGGTTTAATTTGTTCTTTTTTTTCTGACATCATATTTGAGGGTGTGACATCATAACCAAATGAATGTGACAGGGTTGTCACAAATATCATGACTTAATGTGTGATTTATTTATTACAAAGCACACCAAAATTGAGTGACACTACACGAATGTACTAAAGTATGTTTTTATAACTCTATAAAACCTACTGTACAATTATGCATTTGGCAGATGATTTTATCCAAAACGACTTACATTGCATTTCAAGGTACACATTTACATCCGTATCAGTGCTTGCTTTCCCTGGGAATCGAACCCATGACCAAGCGCCAACGCTCTACTGTTTGAGCTACAGGAAAGCTGTGGCTCAAATTTGTGTATTGTATTTGACACAAATTTCGGTTAATGTGTCTTTGTTACAATGTAAGTACTGAGTAATATGTACTTAACTTAACTACATGCACTTATAGGGTTAGGATTTGGTTTGGTTTAGGGTTAGTTGCATAATTATGCATAATTTACAGTTATTACTGACTACATGTAACATATGTAACAATGACACTGTAAAATAAAGTGTTTACCAAATTTCTAAGGGCTCTAAATTATCCACATGATGAAAAACCTGTTGTACACAATCTAATACATTTCTTCTATTGTGTGATTAATACCATATACTTTTGTTTATCAAGTAAAAGGCCTTTTGTACCAAATTGCACTTTTTTTGCTCAGTCTGGGCCTCTGAATTCTCTAGAGTGGGTGAAAAACAGATCATATTAAACTCATTTTGAGGCACATGGGGCCGTTGTTCATTTGGTGCTGAGCATCATAGGCCTATAAGCTTCATAATAACATCAAGCTTCACATATGCGACAGAACGAATTAAGTGCAAAACATGTTATCATCATAAGGAGAATATTAGGAGTGTTTCAACAATCTAGTATAGTCTTTACTGGTGAAGACATTCAATGCACATTAAATATTCTGCGTAATTAAGCCTAAATGCTTAGATGTCAGCTCTTTCTTCTAATCCTCTCAATATTTAATCTGCCAGCAAGTGTGAGGACTCCACAGCCCACCAGCGGAAGCCTGTTTCACCACTTTAATCCAGAATTTTTAACTCCTTGAACACACACATTCTCAAGGCATGACATTAAAATAACCTCATAGCACTTGAGAGAGGAGGAGAACTCCATGTGTCTTTGTTCAGTGCTGTAAAAAACACTGCTCTGTATCTTTGCTGGCTGTGTGGAAGTGTCACAGACAGAGCCTTGACTCATGTAGACGGGTGAGTGAGAAGTCCTGAGGATAAAGACTCGCTGTCATTACTGTCTCAGCTCAAAGCTCTCCTAACACTAGTTAGTGTGCTATAGGGTGACAATTATCAAGTGCAACTGCAATCACCATGCTCTCATGCACTCTAAACCAACATCTGACGCTAAGAGTCCTAAGGGCATGCAGAATTAATCATTGTTTTATTGGCATTTTATTTTGAATTAATTGTTAAAAAATATATATTAATATTATACATTTGTAATTTGTATTATTCATATTTAATTTGAATATGTATTATTTATTTAAATATTCAATATAGTTTTAAATATTAAAATATCAAATATTAAAATTGTATTTTAATTTTTTATTTTTTTATTTAAATAAATTATTACATTTTGTATATGGTTAAAGGTGCTTTATGTAACTTTTAGCGGCCTCTAGTGGTGATGTTTCAGATTGGAACCAAATTTTACAAGAGCGCTCGTGCTCGAACTCATAGACAATACCGTCTATTACGCAAATATCTCGGCGAATAATAGACGGCTTTGGCGAGCACCGAGCTCGTTGGGACCATCTAGTCGAGATGAAAAGAACCATATAAGTTCCATAGTTTTTGGTGGTGTTTCGCGGAGATATTAGCAGAAAACCATCGGGCGCGCTGCAAAATTGCGGACGCCGGTGACATCACGATCTCAGAAGAAAATCGCTCGTATCTCTGGAACGCAAAGACCCAGAGAGCTCAGATTCGGGGGAGGAGGTCCCAGGGGAACCCTTGCCCGAACGCTAGAGTGGCGGGCCTCGGGGATGCCCCCTACCGGACCGCCGTTCGCTGGGACCCCCGATTTCGAACGGCTATGACTCAGGGAGCCGGGCGAGTCATATATTGAAATAATATTAAAATATGAAATATTAAAATAAATACAATTGTTAAAAAAAAACTTATACAATCAATTTAAAAAAAAATGATTTTACCAAGTGCAACATGTTCCTGGATCAACCCAACAGCTGACGATTTTGCCACATTCTTCATAAATAAAACAACACTTCTCTTCTCCATCTACATGACACCACTAGGATCTGTGATTCAGAAACATGGCTTTTCCTATCACTGCTACGCTGATGACACAACTCTACCTCTTATTTCAACCAGAGGATCCGACAGTAGCTGCTCGCATCTCATCCTGCCTGACAGACATTTCTGTCTGGATGAAGGACCACCACCTTCAACTAAACCTTGTGAAGATAGAGCTGCTTATGGTCCCAGCCAACCCAACACTACACCACAACTTCATTCAGCTGGGTTCGTCATCCATAACTTCATCAAGGTTAGCCAGGAACCTTGGAGTTGTGATTGATGATCAATTGAACTTCACAGACCACATTGCTAGAACTGCCCGGTCCTGCAGATTTGCCTTATACAACATTAGGAGGATCAGGCCCTTCCTATCAGAGCATGCTA